GGCTTTCCTTATTTTCTTCTTACTGTCTTGGTCATGACTTTGGTCTTGTCTGTGTGGTCACATGGGTACCTCCTAAGAGGTGTATTCTCTACCCAGATATATCAATTGTGACTCTGTGTTCTCTACAATACTCAAAGAAGGCCTGTCCCCACGGCCAATGAAACCCTCTTTTGTGGGTCTGGAGAGATGTCCCAGCAGTTAAGAGCACTTGTTGCTTTTGTAGGGAACTTGGGTCCATATCCTACTAACCCTGAGTCCTGAGAGAACTTGTATGACTTTTCTCTTAGTGTCATAGTAAGGGGCTCAAGGAACATCATGGAATCTGGGACACAAAGAACGTAAGAGCGGAGGTGGGGGTGTGTGTGAAATGCCATCCTCCAGACATGAACTTGAGAATCTGTGGTTACTGCACAAAGCCTGCGTGATAACAAGCCAGTCAAAAATACAAGCATAGAGTGGGAGGTATTCCTGAAGCTCCACCCCTAGTTAAGGAGCTACCCACAGTTGGCAGCTGCTGAGGGAGGCAGAATCACTTTACTTTGGGGGATGCTCACAGGGAGGTTGCCCATGCCAGTGGATGACCCCAGACCACTTCATATATGGGCTTCATTTATTACTAATTAAATAAAAGGGGACTTGGAGCTGAAAGGGAAATATACTGGGGAGGGGGTTAAGGGAAGTTGAAGAGAGGGAGTGGGGGGTGGATATGATTAACATGCATCATATCCCTGTATGGGATTTTCAATGAATAAATTTTAGAAAGAGAAAACAGAGGTCATAGCATCAAAAACTGTAGCATAGCAATTCCACATCTGGCTGGCTCTTAATTTTTTCTTGTGATTGCCTGCCTCAAAGTCTTTTTCTCTTCCCTCTGTAATTCTGAAATGCTCACCAAATGGTTAACTATTGTGTACTTTATGCCTATTTTCTACACTCTATTTGTTGTATGGAAAACTGGAAAAAAAAAAAAAACGGGAGCCTGGGGCTGGCAAGATGGCTCAACAGGTAAAGATGCTTGCCACAAATCCTAATACCTGGGTTCAACTCTCAGAGAGAGAACCGACTCCTGCAAGTTGTCCTCTGATCTCCTCATGTGCACCATGGTATACAGGTATGTGTGGACATACAATAAATAAATGTAAGAAACAGTACAAAATCTAAAAAGCTTAGAAACAGATATTTGTTCTCTTCTAAGTGCTTAATTTATTGCAAAAAGCTTAAAAATATGATGAAGATGTAAAATTTAGTGAAACTCTATAGGGATTTCCCCTCAAGGTAAATATTTGTCTTGGGGACAAACTATTATCTTGAAACTTGGAGTCATCCATAGTCCTTACGCCTGCGTACTCAAATGGACCATCTCCTCAGTTCAATATGCCAACACTTAGCCATGCATTAGTCAATATCTCTTCATTTGTTTGTTTGTTTGTTTTTCGAGACAGGGTTTCTCTGTATTGTTTTGGAGGCTGTCCTGGAACTCGCTATGTGAACCAGGCTGGCCTCGAACTCACAGAGATCCTCCTGCCTCTGCCTCCTGAGTGCTGGGATTAAAGGTGTGTGCCACCAACACCCGGCAGTCAATATCTCTTGACTGAGTCAATAAATTGAAGTATTTTATTGGCTCCAGTTTCCCAGATATAATGATGGACTTGATAACAACATTTCTGGATGTGTCTGTGAGTCAGTTTGGAAGAGATTAGCATAAGAATCAGTAGACTGTGGGGAAGGGCATACGCCAGCCCACTGAACAGAACAAAAAACAAAACAATGAGATTCTAATGTAATTTTATTTGACACAGGTTTGAAACTATCAATAAGCTAAATGGCCATCAGAGTATTGGCAATATGTTACATAAATATGAAGTAGTTTATCATACAATCATTAAAAATGTTGCATAGCAATAATTAACAACCTCTTTGGTCTCCATATCCTTTTAAAATCGTGAAAATTATTGCGGACTCTTGTGTATTGTAGGACTAGTAGCCTATGGAGAGTAGGATTATCTCCCTTCAAGGGACCCTGCCTGCGTGACTCAGCTAACTGGCATCCCTGGCTTCCAGCCCTGGCACTGATACACTGCAAGGCCATCCTGTCCCTAGGCTGCTCCAGGCAGTGACTGGATTCTGTGAGGAAACTCAAGCTGGGTCACACTTATCCTCAAGACAAGTGCTCTCTCGTCCTCTGGTCAATACCACTTGGCTAATTCCCTATCAAGCTGGTCTCGACTTTCAAGGAACTCCTGTGTTTAATGAAGCTCTTATTCAAACCCCGCTCCTCTGTGAATGAGGAGGGAAAGCTGAAGCCTGGTTAACTAAGGATCCCTGAGTGTTTGAGCACAGAAAACCGGAGCTGCCACACTCCAGCCAAGAAGGAGCCTTGGGAAATGAAGAGGAGAATCTTCCTAACATGTGTCTAGGGGAGAGGGGGTGGCATTCACTGCCTGTGTGTGGAGGAATGGCTTGAAGTAGAAACATGGACAGGTTACCTATGTCCAGATGACAGTTAATAAGGCATACGAGTGGGCCCATGGCCAAGGAATCCCCCTGCCATCTCACATACCACATGTTTATCCCATTTTCCCCAGCATATTTTTGCCTAGCTGGTCCTGCTTATGATGCTTAGGACTGGGGCCCACAGGACAACACAGAAGGTAAAGGCACTTGCCACCAAGGCCTGAGTTCCATCCTGGAGTTCACTTGGTACGAGGAGAGAAGTGGCCCCGGTGAGTTGTCGTCCTCTGACCTCCACATACATGCAATGGTTCCCACACAAGCACACATGCACACAATTACAAATAAATAAACAGGTGCATAAAACAGTAACGAATGCAACTGATTTAAAGTTCAATTTTGTCTTTTTTTAATTATTAAAAGACAGGTCACTGCCGTGTCAGTGCATTTCAGATGTTAGCCCTAAATCCTTTGATATCACTTTGATTCGATGAGTGAGACAGAATTGCGAATCCTATTGAAGGGCATAAAGATTAAGCAACTATAAAACCACCCTTGAACTATAAAAGTAGTGAGTGACTCGTGAGGCAAGGAAGTCACAAACAGCAATAAACAGTCAGCTCATCTCTGGAAGGTGGTCTAGGAGACATATCACCTCGAGGTGACAGTTATTCAAAATAAAAATAACTTTCCCTTAATTATAAAAATAACAGGCAATTATTTTCCCAAACTGAAATACTACAAATGTTATAAAGAAAAAAGCAGAATATTAACCTTTTATCATTGAGGAATAACTATTACTAACCTTTTGCAGAAGAATGCATTAATGCTGGAAATAGTTTGATCATGCCAGGCATGAACACCAGTAGTGACACTACATGTCTGAACAAAATGTAATATATATATATGCACAAAATATATACATTTATTAGTGATAAACATGAGCTGCCCTGTTCTACACATTTATATAATCATAGTTTTATGTAATTTATTTTATATATGATAAATTTTGGAAATGTAAGGGCTTTTTCTCCTGATTCTGAGTTGTTATTGTGGGGTCAGGGGTTTTGCGGTTTTGTTGTTGCTGTTTGTTTCAGTTCACTCAGGTTTGACTTAAATGAGGACAGAGTTGACCTGTAACTTGTGGCAATTTTCCTGCCTCAGCTTCCAGAGTTCTAGGATTATAGGCAAGCACCATCATGCCTGGCTACTCCCTCTCTTTTTAAAATCTCATCAGATACTTTGTCTACTCCATTCATATTTTCCAAAAAAAAAAAATGTATTGGGAAATTTTAAGCACTTAAAGTGATACATGAGTCAAAGAAATCACAGTGGTTAGAAAACACCTAGATGAGAATAATAAAAACAAGTACCCACCAGACTGTGGTGACACGTGCCTTTAATCCCACCACTTGGGAGGCAGAGACCGGCTGATCTCTGTGAGTTTGAGGCCAGCCTGGCCTACAGAGTTCCGGTCAGCCAGGGCTTTACATAGAGAAACCCTGTCTCAAAAACAAATAACCCCCAACACACCTGTGAGATGCAGCTACTAGCAACTAAAAGATGCTATCACACTCAAAATTAGTCAGTCTGGCCTTTGATTCAAGAAATAGGAGGAAGTAAGTCAACCCAGGGCAAATAGAACATACCAGCAAAAAGTACCCAAAGGTGTTTCGTTCAGAACGTGTATCAAATGGGCACTCCTACTGCTAAAGTGAAGAAAGAAAAAGAACAGAGATCTAAAATGAAATATATAATAATACATTGGGCAAAACGGGAAACTTCCAAAAAAAAAAAGTTGTAACTTACTAAGAGAACACAGTAAAGTGAAGAGGCTGTATTGAGGGCATCGACACTGAAAGACAAGTTTTAAATATAGGTACAGAACAGTTGGTGGCCCCCGCGGTAACTCAAGCACGTTCCTCTTGGGATAGGAAAGCCAGTGTCCTCTTGCATGGCTGTGGGCTGGACAAATTCCAGATCCAGTGTCTCCACCCTGCCAGGGGGCCTGGATGTCAGGGGCACGATTTACATGACTCAGAGGAAGTACAAATGCTTTACAACAAGTCAACCCTTCAGATCAATGTGTGTACTTAGGGCACTAACTTAGAGTGTCATAAAAACGGAATGTGGCCTTTCTACCTCAACCAGCGGCTGGTAGCACTGCTGGGTTTAACCCGTTTTTGAAACAATAAACTCTAGCAGTTGTAACAAAGCTGCTTCGAAGAGACACAAAGTGTCTCTTTCACCCAACTTGGAACCCACAAAAGTCTGAGCAATCATGCAGTGTTTGCAAAGGGCAGAGCAGGTGAAGATTCAAGAACCAGAGATGCTCTCAGGACGAAAGCGTTGGCAGTTTTAAGTGTGCTACACTAATTTATCTGGAAAAATACCCGCCGCTTTCGGAATCCAACTCTCTAGCGCTCTTCCAGCCAGCTGGCGGGCGTAGTTCCGTCTCCTTGCCTGGCCTCAGGCCACCTCCCTCCCGGTACCAGGTTGTTGTGTTCCCCGGACGCCAGCAGCTGCCCCAACGCCCCGCGGCGACCCACCTCCTCGGCGTCCTGGCCCAGTGGGATGCCCAGGTTCTGCAGCCCCTGCTGCAGCTCTCCGATGTCCACCACTCCGTCCCCATTGCGGTCCAGCGCCCGGAAAAGCGTCTCGTAGCGCGTGGGCGGCTCCGCGTCCTGGCAGGCGGCGGTGGGCAGCACGAAGGCCCGTAGCCAGCGCAGCATGGTCCCGGGAAAGTCACCGCGGGCTGATCCTGGCCGGGAGCGATCCGGGTGGTGAGGCCTGGCTGGGTGGGGCGGCAGCCGCAGAGCCTTTGGAACGTCGTCGGGGGGGCGAGGCTTCTGGCTCACAGGAACCCAGCAGGGTGTGGCCGCCCAGTTGCTGCTCGGGGCGGAGCTGGCCCAGGCCGTGCTTGGCTGCTGGGACCGACTGGCTCAGATTCAGGCCCCAGAACGTGCAAGCAGGCGAGATGGGGTTACTCCGGATACGGGAAGGGGTTCTGCTCTGTCCAGAGCCCTCTCGAAGCTCCAACTTGGTGTGCTGAAGGGCAGGTAGCTCGGCCTCAAAGGCCATTGGGCTGAGGGAGTTGGAGAACCAGAACCATGGCAGTGAGTAGGTAATTGGGGTGGCGAGTCGAATGTGGAAAGGCCTATCAGACCAAACGGAGCAGAGAGGAACCTGAGGGAGGCCTTTTTCGGAGAAGTGCATTGGTCACCCAGGAAGCTGTGGAGAAAGGAGGGGAAATGGCGCACAGTAGGTACCTTTCTTTCCACAGCACACAGAGAAACTTTACCTACTTCCCCTCAAGAGATGTGTGGTTCTGAGGTTTGGCATTTATAGCTCAGGTGAGACAGTTTCTAGAATAACGGGAGAAACTTAGGGTCTACAGAGAGACAAGAGCCAAGACCTGATCCTTCAGCTGTGTAATTCCAAAGACGGGACATAGCTCCCTTGCATAGACTTTTGTCAGTAAAATGGGAATATCAACAGCTGCCTCATCATCATATGGGGTAGCCCTTCCCTGGAATACTCTCCCTCCAGTCACTCCACCTAGTAAAAACTTCGGTTAAAATCCTGCTGTCTTCGGGAATTTAAAACAGAAACTAAAATCACCTGTTTCTTCAAAAGCCGAGGTCTAAGATCTTGAATTTACCTCCTTCACTACTATTCTATCTGTTTAAAACAGTGTATGAATATTAGGTCTGGATGGAGATAAGGACTGCCTTGCTGTTGGTAAAAATCGTCCTGAAACCAACTCCTGGATTGCTTCAACATTGTAGTCTTGGGAATTAGCCCCTTCCTCAAGAAATTGTTACCTCTCCTTGGAAACGCCCTAAGGCCGTCTCTGGAGATCCTTTCATCTTGAGAGAAGATGCTTGCCAACCCAGAAACAACCAAAGGGTCCTGAGTGGACGAGCTTCTGAGCAACCAGTGCTGCATTCACTCGAGGAAATGCCTCTCGGCACTGAAAAGCAGTCGCTGCCAGGCAGCTGGTTTGGAAGGACGTTCTGGAAAGAAATATATCAGGAACTACTGGAGTTACAATTCGCTTTTATTGGGGGTAGGGCTGATACTAAGAACAAAGGGCAGCATAGGGCTGGGGGTGCTGGAACTTTCCTAGATCTTGATTATGAACGTGGTTACACCATGTGTGCCCATCAGAAACCTACGTGGGTTAATTTCATTCTGTGTGAAGAGTCTCAGTAAAGCAGACTCGAAAACCAGTCCTAAACATGAACAAAATGGAATAAAGAGTTCTTAAACTCTGTGAACATCAAGTGAGAGTTTGTGAAGTGTTTAAATTTTAATCTTTGCTGTCAGTAACACTGGGTACAATCGGCCTGCAGAGTCAGTGTTCTTAACTTCTCAGAAGCAAACTTCAGGTCTGTTCAGGCTTCCTGTATAGGAATTGTAATGGCATCTTGTTCCACCAACAGACTTGAGGTAATGACCTTAGGGTGTGGCTTCACTGTGTGGATGTGACCCCTTGTAAGGAAGAGGAGAGGCTCCCTCAGCCTCTCTTGGGTTGTGATCTGAGCAACCTACATCGCAGACCCTGCACCTTCAGGGGCAGAAGACCACCGTGGTTATTTACCATCAATGTGTGAGTGCTCCCCAAATAAAGAGCTGTTATTTTTTATTCAGGTGTTCATGGACTTCCTTTAACAGCCTTCAAGGAATCACACTGAAACAAGAGCGGTGAGTGGTTTGAGAGGAAGAAAATAAATGGGTGCCATGACACAAGTGAGGCATTGGGGAGATTCAGAAGTTCTATTGGCTTGTTTGTGGAATCTAGAGAAAACAAAAACAACTTAGGGCTACCTTCTAATCACCTGGGGATAAATTTTACAGTTTTACAAATATACGTTCAATGGATTGAGAAACTCCATACACAATTGCTTAGTTTGGATATGGATGGTTATGGGGGATGTCCTTCTGTATATATGTTTCTCTTATTGTTTGATGAATAACACACTGATTGGCCAATAGCCAGGCAGGAAGGATAGGCAGGGCTACCAAGCCAGGAGAAAGCTGGGGAGAGGGAGACAGAGAGGAGCCTGGAGGCAGATGCCATGTAGAGACTGGGAAGATATGACATACCAGTTGTTCTCTGGTAGGATAAGGCCATGTAGAAATACATAGATTAGTAGTTATGGGTTAAGAGAGAGCTAGCCAGTAAGAAGCCCTAGATATGGGCCAGCAGTTTATAAATTAATATGTCTCTGTGTGTTTATTTGGGGCTAGTCAGTTGCAGGACCAGGCTGGAAAGAAACTCCAGCTACAGGATGCCCTCAGAAGGCCCTGTTAAATCCTTGGTCCTAAGCTTAGCACAGTAGAGAGGGGGTAGAGACTTTTAGAGGTGCACCTATTGTGAGGTGGGGGAGAACTGTACCACGGGGGCTATAAACCCCAGTCTCCTTCTTCCTTCCCAGTCATGAGGTGAGAGGTTTTATTCCACCCACATGCCCCACTGTTGTCATATAGTACACACACACACACACACACATTCCACCCCATTCCCTCATACCCCCAATCACACAGTAGTAGCCTATAAGCAGTAGGGTCATGCAACCATGGACTGGAACTTTTGAAACCTTAAGCCCAGGAGAATTTTCCCAACTTATAAACTGAGGATCTCCACTATTTGCTATGATGGTGAAGGATGGCTGACACACATAGCAGACATAGCAAGTTTCTACATGGGAAAAGAAAACATTCACTGACTTCAGACGTCTCCATGAGAGGTTTCCTTGTCTGTTGGTAAAGCCCCCTGGGCCAAGGGCTCCCACAAAGGCCACACAGAAAACTCTGGGTTCATATTTGTCTAACAGCACTTCTGCTTTAAGAGGCTTCTGGCCTTCTAATCCCTTTCATTTCCATGGAAACAGCAGACTTTTTTGGCCTCATCAATTTTGGTCCTTGAGGACTTCAACACCTATCTTGGATTCCTTGGAGTAGTAGTGGATCCATTTGAATAAGCACTCTAGAGCCTCACAGTTTGAGCAGGTAAACATGCTTGCTCTTTTTATTAACAGCAACTAATTGCCCTGATAAAGACAAATCATCAGCCACTCCATGAAGACCAGTTCTACCATGTTTAACAGTGTCACTATACAGCTACAATCATCACAGGAAAGGGGGTGATTTTATCATGAAGGGAAATACCATCCTGGGTGTCCTAGCGCTGTAGTGAGGAAGTGATCATTTTAGGTTTAGGATCATTCATATAACATTGGAAATTCTATTATATTCTCTAAGTCATTTAGGAGTCAGAATTCCAGGTTAAAAACGTGAATAAATTCTGTCTCTTGCACAGACTATCTACCAATCCATCCCATCCACCCAAATGAATGAAAATAATTCTCAATTGTAAAAACATGGCACTAAATTATGAAAATACTACCATTACTAACTCATGTGAATACTTCACATTTTAAAATAATTCTAATTGTTTTAAGTAATAGAATTACAATTGGCTTTAAAATAGTGCCTCAGCATTTTGAAAATTATTTTAAAAGCTGTGTTAAAACTTCAGTGTTTCAACATTTATTTGAATTATGTCCTGAAAACTGTACATCTAGTGTAAATAATTTGAGTCTTTTTAATGATAGTATTCATAGACAATTGATCAATTTGGTATATTTCTACTTGATATATAAAAATACCGATGGTCCCTCTTCCTGCTAAGCTTCCCCTATCCTTTCCTTACTTCCGTCTCTCCATCTCTCATCATTTATGCTTCCTTCTTTCCTTCCTTCTTTCCTTCCCCCTCCCTTCTTTTTTCTTTCCTATCTTCCTTACAAGGGCCACCAGGCAGGTCTGAGTGACACAAGCTGAATAGTAGGAATCACAGGTGGTGAAGCAGGATGCCTGATTGGGCCAAGTGTGTAGTTCCATCCAAGAGAATAACCTGAATGCCAGACAGATAAATCAAAACAGAATATTCTCCAGTCTGTAACCTTTAGATGTGTAAAGATAATGGAAGTCGAGGAAAGACCTGGTTGTTGTTCTTAGTTGACCAGAAATAACATAGGTTCGGTGTGTGGCTTGAAAGGATATCATTTGGAGAGCAGGTAAAATTTGAATGGAATCTGTAAATGAGAATACCTGGGCTGCTTCTTTCTTATGTTGCATGGGTTTGCAAATTTTGCAAATTGGCTTTTGAAGCAAACAAAGTCCCAATATTCTTTAAAAAAAAAAAAAAGGAAGAAAATTCCTCTCCTTCTAAGATAGGTTCACTTGTGACTCATTTTCCTTTGCAGAAGCAAACTAAGTAAAACCATCTCCTTATGACCAGAATGAAAACATAGTTTATATATATAGTTTATATAATATTTCCATGAGGTGGGAAGAGTGGTATAGTAAAAGCCATCCAGATGATGAGAAGGAAGAAACACTCATCACTGATGTTCACCTGGATGACCATGAAGTTACAAAGAGGGCTTACCTCCCTGTATTCTCTCCCATCCAGCCTCCTATGATGTGGCTAGGAAGCTAGCAGGAAGAGATGAGGGAAGGCAGAGGTTGTTCTATACACCCAGAATCTCTGAGGGAAAGGAAATGACACACTGAGGGTATGGAATGTGATCTGTCCTTTGCCTAATACCACAGGGTGAATTAAGTCAGCATTGGTTTCAGTAAGTCTCTGTATAACTTAACCTTCATGAATCTTCAATCAGCCATGAAGAATAAACTAAACTTTCCAAATAAATGTCTTCCATTTTTATGTTGGAAGTATTCCACACAAGCATGGAAGGCAAGGCCTTATGTACAGAATGGACGTGCAATGGCTGATATTTTCCTACCCATCTGTGGAATATGAAACCCGCACAGGTTCCAGACTTTCCCAGTATAAAACACTCTCTAAGACAGCCTGTTCTGTGACAAGCTTGACTGCTTTTCTCCTTGCCGACACAGAAGCAACACCCCATGTATGAGGATGATTCTGAGGACGTGGTGCACTGAAGCCAACATCTTCATCTTTACTCAGAGACACGCTCAACTTTGTTTTTTATTTTTTTTATTTTTTTATTTTTTGGTTTTTCGAGACAGGGTTTCTCTGTATTGTTTTCGAGGCTGTCGGTCCAGCCTGGCCTCGAACTCACAGAGATCCGCCTGCCTCTGCCTCCCAAGTGCTGGGATTAAAGGCGTGCGCCACCACCGCCCGGCTCAACTTTGTTTACTGTAACTGCCAAACCTGCCTCCCTGCTTTCCAGCCGGAGAGGAAGTTCAAAGCAAATAAAGTTCAAAGGGTCACTGGGAGTAGCCAGGAATGCTTGAGCCAGGAACAATGACAGAGGTGACCACAGACTGGAGAAAAATGAAACTCTTAGATAGACTTAGTTCTATTACAGCACAGGACAATGATACATGTTAAGCTATTGAAAGCAAAGCTCAAAGGAAGTTTTGTTGCTTAAGAAGTTAGAATGACAACACATTAAATAACGATGCTATACAGGATTAGGGGTGAGGATTGCTGGGAAGATGTCTTGATCAGTAAAATGTTTGCCTTCTAAGCATGAGGACCTGAGTTCAATCCCCTGGCACCCACATCAATCAATAAATAGATAGATCAATCAATAAATAAATAATAAGATGACAGTGCATACCTATAATCCCAGTGCTGTAAATGCCAAGACAGAGTATCTCTGGGGTTTGCTACCCAGCCAATCTTGCCTGAATATACAAGCTCCGGGTTTATGAGAGACTCTGTCTCAATTAATAAGGTGAAGGTCCCTGGAGTTGGTTCAGCAAGTAAAGATATCTATTGTATCTTTAATACTGATGAGCTGAGTTTAATTCTTGTGACCCATATGGTGAGGAGAAAGAACCGACCCCCACCAAGTAGCCTCTGGCCTCCATACACAAGCCTTGGCACTTACACACCCACACACACACAAAATCTCATAAAATTTAAATATAGTGAGGAGTGATTAAGATACCTAATGTTGACCTCTGACCTACACATGCACACCTACACATGTGAACACACACAGGAACACTCAAAAGGTGAGAGGAAAAACTACAATAACATTAACTATTTTATATAAACTACTTCCCTTAGAATTGTCTTAGAGAGTTAGGTACTATTGTAAAAATAACATTCTAAGAAGAAAGGGCTATAATTAGGGTTGAAAAAAGACTGGTAACAAGAAGTGGTATAAAATCCTTGCCCTCAGCTGGGCGTTGGTGGCACATGCCTTTAATCCCAACACTCGGGAGACAGAGGCAGGCGGATCTCTGTGAGTTCGAGGCCAGCCTGGTCTACAGAGCAAGTTCCAGGACAGCCTCCAAAACAATACAGGGAAACCCTGTCTCAAAACAAACAAACAAACAAAAAACCCTTGCCCACTACTGAATATAAAACAAGTGTAAACAGCTGTTCCCTCCCATGTATGTTGCTCATTCCACTAGTAAATAGTCATTGAATGCCTGCTGTGTGCTACCCAAAGTCCTCCAAGTAGGAGAGACTACAATGAAGAAACTAGCTGGGGTCCCTGTGTTAGTGGGGCTGATCCACTAACAATGTGCTCCTTCCTACAGGCTTCTAACACTATATGAAATTTGAGTCAGGGGCTGGAGATACAGTTTAGCAGTTAAGAGCACGGTTCACTCTTCCAGAGGACCTGGGTTTGGCTGGTATCCAGCACCCACATGGCAGTTCACAAGCATTTGTAACTCAAGCTGCCACATCTCCCTCCCAAGCTACTGGCAGCCATCATTCCACCTGCTTCCATGAGTTTAGTCACTCCTGGTATCTTATGTAAGTGAACACACCGTGTTTACACTTTGTAAGGAGTTTATTTCACTTAATATAACATCCTCCAGGTTCGTCCCTATTGTAATATGGATCAGGATTTTCTTTTAAAAGAGAAACAGCATTCCATTATATGCATGTACCACAGTTTATTCACCTGTAGATGCACTTTCAAGTTGCTTGCACATTTTGGTTATTGAGAGCAGTGCTGATATGAGCATAGATAAGCAAGCAGCTCCTTTGAGCCCCTGCTCTGAATTGGGTTTGAATATCATAAGCTGCTGGATGCAGGCTCATTCTTCTCTTTGGTGATGAGATGTCCTGAGGAGATACTCTCCCTGGCAGCAGCCTTGTGCCCCCTCAGCAGTGCACAGGGTTCCAGTTCTCCACATCCTCACCAGAACTTGCTGCTTTGAATAATGAGCACCACGGTGGTGTAAAATGGGATTCCATCTGGATTTTAATACGCTTCCCCTGTGGTCAAGCAGCTTTTCTTTGCTTGTTTGCGTCATTGGTATGTTTTCTTTGGAAAAATGTCTACCCAAATCCTTTGCTCATTTTTTACTCAGTTTACTGTTGAGTGTGATCAAGGTACATAGCATAACGTATGGAAATGACACAGTGAATCTATTCATTTTGTACAACTGATACTTGCTAATGAAGTAAAAGTTTAATACAGAACTAAGCAACTACCAACAGAGCTCTGACAATAGACATCTTATTTAAAAGTGAAATACAAGGTCATAATAGCATTATTGCTCTGTCAATTTTATGACCCCTGAAGTTCCCAGTCACACCACAAATAAAAGGCAATGACTCAGAAGAGGAACTTTGGAGATAATATGCTCTGAGTCACACACTTAGCCCTGTCCCCCTCCCAGGAGAAGATAGCTGCCCCGTCTCCAGTCCCAGCAACAGCAGAAGTGAGTAGGGGCTTTTGAACACACAAGGGAGTAGAATTAAGAATGTTAGTCAACATTTCTTACAATGGAGTGAAAAAGAAGCCGCTTCCCTGGGAAAATTATTCTCCGGGGTTGTGGAAAGGAACTCCCCTAGGCAAGGGATGCAACTCTGGTCTACAAAGATGTCAAGAAAGATGAAACCATCTTGGAGTGGGGGAAGGTGAGAAGGATAGGCTGTGCAGAAACTGAAGGGGACACGGGACTAGCAAGGGAATGACAAATCATAACAGTCCAGAAGGAATCATAACGTGGATTATCCTTTTTGCTGAAGAGAGTAACTTTAATGTCAAATTTAAACGCACTGATTTTAGCTTTACTGTGTTAAACATGTTCAACCTCATCTTAAAAAAAAGAATACTAGCAAAAATCTCTCATGTAGGTTACCAAATGTTTTCTAATGAGGTTGTATTTTCTATTAGCACCCAATCAAAATCTAGTTTTATTTTTAAGCAGAAGCTAACAAGAAACATAAAATAAGAATTCTGGTGATAATAAAGGATTTGAAATTATTAAAGAACTCTACCAAAATTATAGTTTAATTTGTATATTTTATAATAAAGATAAAATAAAGACAACGTAATTTTACAAGTAGTTGATATTCCCTTCCTTTTAAGTAAGATAGCCCAGGGTTATCTTATACCTTAGTCATTATGGCAATGTGGCAGTTTGATACTCCACTTCTAGGTTAACCCAAAAATCAATTTCATTAGTTCAAAAGCCACACTGCCAATGCCCACTGCTGGAAGCAGCTTGAGTACGTTAGGGGTGAGACCCCTGAAAAATCCCCTCTTTCCTTCTTTAATGTATATTTCTTTAATGAGCTGCAGCATAGGTATGGTTTCCTTTTCCCGGATAGCTATAAATAAAAAAACAGAATAATTCAATATTTAATATTTACATATTAACCTAGCCCAAAGATAATGAGAACTTATAGAAGTTGAAATCATTTCAGAGGATACTCATACATAGAATGATCCTACATTGCTCAATAGGGTAGTAACTATACATGTGGTTATTTAAAAATTAAATTAAATTTCTGCCTTCAGTCATATTAGAACATTTCAAATGTCATCAGCGGCTACTATGCTGGGCAGCACAGATATAGATGATTTCATCGCTGCGGAAAGCTCCCTGAACAACTTACAAATCTTTCATGAGAGACTTCACAGGGGCATTTGGAAGTGGAACTGAAGGGTAGTTTAGTAAGAGAAGGCATGAGTGATACTGGACATAGAAATTCTCCATCTCACTTGCAATGAAACTGAATCCAAAGCCTAACTGAGAAAGACCAGGAGAAAGAAAAAGAAAAAGCATGTCACCCACTGTAGTACACCTTAATTCACTCAAGAATATAATAGCATTGTGTTGCTTTTATCGTCTTTGAAAAGTGATTTTTTTTATTTGTTAAAATCTAAATCTCGAGCATTTCACCAAGAAGAGCAAACACACAGGACTTAACATCACCTCCCTGAGCTGAATGAAGTACAGAGTCCCAAAGCAGTTTACAACAGTGACAGCAGAACTAAGCTGTTGGTTTGAGTTAAAGACAGAATTCTTTTCCCTTTTTCTACATGCCACTTCCTGATTAAAATCTTCTTAAAGAGATCATCAGTAACTGGAGCAAAAGTGGAAGCCCCACACAGAAGTTTGGAGGGAGAAAAACATTTGAAATTTACAGAAGGTTCCAAGAGAAATGGCTCAATGGTTAAGAGCATTTGCTGCTCTTCCAGAGGACCTAGTTCAGTTCCCAAGACCCACAGAAAGGCACATGACTATCTATAACTCCTACTCCTAGAGATCTATTGCCCTCTTCTGGCTGCTTCAGGCACTGCATTTATGTAGTACATGTAGATACATGCAAGTAACACATTCACATACATAAAATAAATAAATCTTTAAAAACATAATAATAATAAATTCAGATCTAGTGTTTTAAATCAATTAGCTTTTCCTTTATCAATTCTATGGATTTTCTGCTTTTAAGATATTCATACTTATTTAAAAGGTATTTCTTACCTTAGTGATGACTTAACTAAACTAAGATAAAAAACTCACCTGCCTGCATGCGAGTTCTAACAAGGTTCAGGGGGAAACTGGCTAACTGGCCACAAGTGTGTGACAGTGTGCTGCAGCCCAGCACGATCGCTATCCCAGGGTTCACCGAGTTTACTGAATAGTGTTCCAGCCAGTAATTCTTCAGAAGCTGGTGGAGAAGAGAGTCTTTGAACTTCCAACTCTAAGTAGAATAAAGTTCAGCACCTGAACTTCACACTCTGCATTTGCATGTCTATCTACACTTCCTGTGTGTTTTTGCCTGGCTTTGTTTTTATTTTCCTTTGATTCTTTTGGTTTTTTAAACCAGAGCAAAAATTCTGGATATTCTCACAGGAATCAACGCAAATCCATTTTATGCCAGTGTCAAATCTGTCCTGAGAAAGATGCATGGTCATGACCATGAGATGCTTGTGACCCTGTCTGATAACATTGCACTGTCAGGGTTTCACTTCTAGGCTGGCTCTCATCTTTAGTTCAGATTTATTCCTTTCTGTTTTCTCAACCTTACCTGTGCATCAGAGTCTTCTGGGCAGATGGGAAATCTGAATCCCTGGCTGTTGCAGAATATTTGTTTAATTATACAAAAATGTGCTGAATTTGTTTAACTAAGTAAAGATATGTTACATTTGTTTATGTTGTGTAATATTTGTTTAATCATGTAAAGATGTGTTGCTATTTTACATTGCCTGACTAAGGCACCTGATTGGTCTAATAAAAAGCTGAATGGCCAATAGCCAGGTGTGGGAACACCAGACCTTGAGCAGAGACCCACTTCCCCTTCTGCCTGGGAGTAGGCAGCTGTAAGACAATGTTTAGTAAAAACATGTTTACTAAAAATGATACAATAAGTTCCTGGGAAAGGCCTTCCCACAGAAACCGCCCTGACCTCGACCTTGTCCAAAGACTAACCGCACCTTCAAAAACCCACACAGATCCACCTCTGGGTCAGAGCAGAACCAGCCAGGGTAGAGGAGAGAGCAGAAGCTTCTCTGGTGGGAGCCTTTCTTAGGAGGTTTTCTTGAACCTTTTTGGAGCCTGTTTAAAGTTTTCTTTATATCATTGAACGAGTCTCTGTGTTGTCAATCCCCGACACCCTCCGCACGTTCTCGGACACAGGCCGCGCAGCAGAGCTGATGATCAATCATCGGTGAGAACTCAGTTGTACACACAGGACTCGTCAGATCTAAACAGGCTTCAAAGTCAGAAACCTCCTAAGAAAGGCTCCCACCAGAGAAGCTTCTGCTCTCTCCTCTACCCTGGCTGGTTCTGCTCTGACCCAGAGGTGGATCTGTGTGGGTTTTTGAAGGTGCGGTTAGTCTTTGGACAAGGTCGAGGTCAGGGCGGTTTCTGTGGGAAGGCCTTTCCCAGGAACTTATTGTATCATTTTTAGTAAACATGTTTTTACTAAACATTGTCTTACAGCTGCCTACTCCCAGGCAGAAGGGGAAGTGGGTCTCTGCTCAAGGTCTGGTGTTCCCACAGCCAGGAAGGAGGTATAGATGGGAATTGTGGGCAGGGAGAGTAAGTAGGAGGAATTTAGCCTTGGGAAAGAAGAAGAAGAGATTCCAGGGAGACACCTGGGGCCAGATAGCAGACACAGAGAAAGCAGAAAAGGAGGACACACAGAATGAAAGAAAGGTTAAAAAAAAAAAAGGTCCAAGGCAAAATGTAGATGAAAAGAAACAAGTTAAATTAAGTTAAAAGAGCTGGTGGGACAAGTCCAAGCTAAGGCCAAGCATTCCTAATTAATAATCAGTCTCCATGTCTTTATTTGGGAGCTGGTTGGTGGCCCAAAGTAAATTCCAACTACACCAGGCCTTTCTGGGATAATTAAATCAGAATACTTGGGATGTGACCAAGTCTATTCTTTCAAAGATCTACAAGTAGGTGATTCTGATGCACATCCAGGGCTAAAAACTACTATTGTCTCAGAAGTTATGTCTATAATCATCACTGCCAAGAAGTAAGTTACAAAGAACAAACAAAAACAATAATGACTAGATTACTAGATGTCTTAAGAGAAAGACAAATAAGAACACCCAATCTGATTCTTGATCAGAAGCTATTTCATGCAAAGCTGATCTATATCTCAAAATAAAACTCCTGTGTCATATTGTCAAATACAATGTACAATGCCATACTTTGAGAAGGAACTCACCTCAAAGATGGCAAGGTCTAAGCCTGCATATGGAACGATGCCTATCAGGTTGGGAACGTAGCCTTTGCAGAAGACCTGAATGCCCTCTGTCTTCAGTAGCTTTCTGCCACAGTCAAGAATCCCAGAATACTGGCCTGTTTTACCTAAAATCAGCCTGGTCTTTATCACCTAGGTGTGAAGCAAAGTAATAAAGGCATACTGATTAGATTCACCTGACTTGTGTAGCAATCTAATGAAGGTCTGTGACATCTGCTTACAAATTTTATAGAAATCATAGGATCCCTGGTGTAATCTCAGCATTCAGGAGCCCAGGACAAGGGGATTGCCACAAACTCGATGTTAGCCTGGGCTGAATAGTGACTTCCAGGCCAACTTGGGCTGCAGAGTGAGATACTGTCTTAAATAATCAAACACAAACAACAATAAAAATATCCCCAAAGTCTAAAACTAAGTGTCTACTTATTAAAACTTTCTTTCCTTTGTTCAACCTGCTGTCTCCACCAAAAGTGCCCTTCTTCATAATCTCTCATGAGCATAGTCTATGCCGTGATCACACATTCTATCCATGTCTTTCATGGAATTCTGAACTATAAATAAATAAACAAATAAATTCAACCCTTTGAGTTTCCATAGCACTAAATATTGAGATATTTTCTACAACTTTTTTTCAATTTGGGATCATTGATATTGATGTATATGTTTTGTTTTCCCTTATAGATTATGGAATACATGATCAAAATTCCCATTTTGAGTCTCCCTTGGATCATACATGGCACCTAGCAGAATATCTTAAGCTTAACACACATACAATTCATATTTACCTATCAAGTGACTAAATAGATAAATGTATTGGTCTGTCTACAACACCATTTGTCTTAAACAATAACAAAGGGTATTGAGACTGACACTTTATAGAAGATTCAAATCTTACAAAGTTATTATAATAATAATCTGGAAACCATTTATGATTGTTAGTTGCATTAAAAGCATGATTTTAATTAAAATGTTATAATACATACCTCCATGGGATAGATACAGGTTTGGGAAGTCGCACCAGCCATGGAACCAGCTATAAATCGTTGAAGAACTCCTAAATTAGCATCATCAAAACTAAGAAATTTCTTATACTGTATAAATAAAAATATATATAGTATTACTGAAATATATGCCTTTCAAGTTTTACAACAGTAGCTAAAAGTATAAAATTATATTAAAATAAGTATCAGGGGCTGAATATTAGCACAACCTAGTACAATGATAAATTTTAGTTTCTATGTAATAGATAAGTTAAACTTCTCTATTCAGTTTTTCTTTTATTTTTCTAAGGAATAATTCAATAGCTACATTAAATTACTTAAGTCTATTCATGGATATGTTATATGGCACATGCAAATAACATAATCAGGAGCTGTGTTTCTATGTCTTTTCAGCACCCTGCTTTACACTTTATGGCAATGTGTTTGGTGACTAGATAATTAGAAAACATGGCAGGCTCTTTAGTTACAAGGACTATAGTAAGAAAGATTAGGACAGTGAAACTTCTGAAGACTCTTGGGAATTAGTCCACAGGCTACCCTTGTTAATCAAATACAAGAATTATGGTGAACGTGGAGAGATGGTTCATTGGTTAAGAGCACTTTCTGTTTTGGAGAGGACCTGGGTTCAGTTCCCAGTACCCATTTGGGGACTTACAACCATTCTTAACTTCCAGGGAATCTAGCACTCTTCTGACCTCTGAAGGCAGTAGGTATGCACACACATGCAGGCATACACAAGTAAAAATATTAGAATGCATGTTGTTTGTGCCCTGGGATTTTGCAGGTCAGACTTTAAAAGTGACAGAATACTCTACTTGGCAGAGAAAATTCCAAAGCAGTGTAGCTAGCATTCAGACTGCAGCCTGCAATGACCACTTTTAGCCAAATATGCCATAAGAACTGGGATGGGTTGGGGATGTTAAGCGGAGTGGAAAGATGTAGAAAATCTACTGACTGCAGAAAAGGAAAACTTGCTAAGAGGCTAGTGCCATTAAAAAGCAGCCATGTAGCTGAATATAGTGGCATGTGCCTATAATTCCAGCTACTTAGAGGCTGAGAAATTTCAAAACATAGCAAGATTTCATCTCAAAAGTTTTGAAAACTGAGAATGATAGTATAAGCCTTTTAAAAAACTAAAATCAGAAATGAAAAGGGAATATTACAATTGGTATCACAAAAGTAAAAAATAACCATAAGATACTAGTATGAAGAATTATATGCCAATAAACTACATAACCTTTTCCCCCAAAAATAAAGTCACTACCTAAAATAGGAAGAAACAGAAAACCCAAATACACCAATAACAAAACAGGAAGCAGGATCGCCAAACAAAAGAAAACCAGTGGTCTGATGGCATTAATTTAAATAACTGATGCCATTCTCTCTCCACTCTTAAAAAAAATGAAAACAATACTGCTAAATTCACTTTAGGAGGCCAGCATCACACTGATTCCAAGCCAAACACATAATAAAACAAAACAAGAGGCCAGTATCCTAAATGAATGTAGATGAAAAAAATCCTCAATAAAACACTAGCAAATCAAACTTAAGAGTACACTTAAAGAATCAGACACAGCATGAAGTGGCATTTATCAAAGACAAAGGTTTAGTATACTCACATATATCAATGTGGTATAACACTTAAATAAAAGGAAAAATGCATTATCATATAAATAGACAGAAAAAACAATGAATACAGTTGCATTCATTCATGATTAACTCTATGGAAATTTTTTTTCAGATAGGTATAGGAGAAACTTCTCTCCATTCAATAAAGGTCAAGCAGAAAAATCCCTCAGCTAACTCTGGCTTGAGTGGCCCCCCCTCAACTTATGTTGGAATTTAATTGCCATTTGCTTCAGTCTTATTTCTACTGCTGTGACAAGAAGCAACCGAATGGAGAAAGTTTATCGTAGCTCACAGTTTCAGCATACAGTCCATCATGACAGGGAAGTCAAAACAGCAGGACCTTGAGGCAGCTAGTAACATCCATCCACAGAAAAGACCAGAAAGAGAGCCATTTCCGGGCCACCTGCCTGTGCTTGGGGTCTGCCACTGTGACTTCCATCCCTGCAGCAAGAGCCAATGCACCCGAGCATCCTTGTCTCTTGCTCCACCCACGAGACTATGTCTATCAGGGTCTGTCTCCAGGCCACACTCCTGTGCCTGGGGTCTACCACTCGGGCTCTTATCCATTCCAGTGGGATCCAAAGCACCCCAGCATCCTAGTCCATTTCTCCACCCATGAGACCAGGAAGTGGAGAGATACCAGAGCACTGGACTTGCCTACACCCACAAGAAGGGAACCCTAGTCCTGCACCCACCAGGAGAGGAAGAGGCACCCTCTGAAACCCACAGATAGGAAGGAGACAATATGAAAACACAAGGAGCAACAGACACTTCCAGAGTCCAGAAACCCTGCACCAGCAAGACTTGAACACCCCAACATAAATGAAGCAGAAGAGAATGACATTAAAAACAACTTCATGAAAATGATAGAGGCCCTCAAAGAGGATATGAGAAATTCCCTTAAAGAGATAGAAGAAAAAACAATCCAAAATGCAAGAAATGGAAGAAAAGACAAACCAAAAATTGCAAGAAATAATTCAAACAGTGCAAGGGCTGAAATCTGAAACAGAAACAATAAAAACAAACACAGTCTGAAGGAATGCTGGAAATAGAAAAGCTGGGAAAACGGTCAGGTACTACAGATGCAAGCATAACCAACAAAATACAAGAGATGAAAGAGAGAATCTCAGGTGTTGAAGATGGAGAATTAGATTCATCGGCCAAAGAAAAATTTAAGTCCAAAAAATCCCTAACACAAAATATCCAGGAAATATGGGACACGGAGAAAAGACCAAACTTAACAATAATAGGTATAGAAGAAGGTAAAGAAACCACCTCAAAGGGGCAGAAAAAAATATTGAACAAAATCATAGAAGAAAACTTTCCCAACCTAAAGAACGACATGAAAATGAAATTGCAAGAAGCTTACAGAACACCAAATAGAGAGGAACAAAAAATAAATCCCCTCGACAAATAATAATTAAGACCCAAAACATACAGAATAAAGAAAGAATATTAAGAGTAGCTAGGGAAAAAGGCCAAGTTACATATAAAGGCAAACCTATCAGAATTACACCAGACTTCTCCATGCAAACTCTGAAAGCCAGAAGGTCCTGGATAGATATTATACCAACATTAAGAGACCACAGATGCCAGCCCAGACTACTATACTCAGCAAAGCTTTCAATCAATATAGATGAAGAAAACAAGATATTTCATGACAAAACCAGATTCAAACAATACAAATCCACTAACCCAGTCCTACAGAAAATTCTGGAAGGAAAACTCCAATCCAAGGAAGTTAACTACTACCAGAAAAGCATAGGCAATAGATTATCCCACTTTACCAACACCCAAAAGAGAAAAGGGGTGGAAATCCATGAACAATTCCAGCACCAACAACCATTCCAAAACAAACAAGAATGAGCTATCAATGGTCATTAATATTCCTCAGTATTAATGATCTTAACTCCCCCATAAAAAGACCCAGGCTAACAGAATGGATTCGAAGACAGAATCCATCCTTCTGCTGCATACAAGAAACACACCTCAGGGTCAAAGACAGACAATACTTCAGAGTTAAGGTTTGGGAAAAGATTTTCCTATCAAATGGACCCAAGAAAGAAGTGGGAGTAGCAATCCTAATATCTAACAAATTAGACTTTAAACTAAAATCAATCAAAAGAGATGAAGACAGTCACTTCATACTCATCACAGGAGAAATCCACCAAGATGAAGTCTCAGTTCTGAACAAAGGCATCCACATTCGTAAAAGAAACATTACTATAACTCAAAGCACATGTAAAACCTCACACACTTATAGTGGGAGACTTCAACACCCCACTCTCACCACTATACAGGAATACCAGACAGAAACTTAACAAGGAAACAAAGGAACTAATAGAAGTTATGACCCAATTGGGTTTAACAGGCAACTATAGAACACTTCATTCAAACACAAAAGAATATATCTTATTCTCAGAGTCACATGGAACCTTCTCAAAAATTGACCACATACTTGGCAACATAGCAAACCTCAACAGGTACAAAAAAAATTGGAATAACTCCATGTATCTTATCAAACCACCATGCTTTAAAGATAGAATTCAACAACAACACAAATCACAGAAACCATGTAGACTCATGGAAATTGAATAATGCACAATTGCACCATTCCTGGGTCAAAGAAGAAATAAAAAAGAAATTAAAGTCTTCCTAGAATTCAATGATAATGAAGACACAACATACCCAAATTTATGGGACACTTTGAAAGCAGTGCTAAGAGGAAAGTTCATAGCACTAAGTGCCCACATGAAGAAATTGGAAAATAGTCACACTAGAGAATTAACAGCACAACAGAAAGCTCTAGAACAACAGGAAGCAAACTCACCCCAGAGGAGCAGACACCAAGAAATAATTAAATTGAGGGATGAAATCAATAAAGTAGAAACTAGGAAAACGATGCAAAGAATCAATGTAACAAAGAGTTGGTTCTTTGAGAAAGTCAACAAGATAGACAAACCTTTATCCAAACTTACCAAAAGGCAGAGTATGAACATGCAAATTAATAAAATCAGAAATGAAAAGGGAGACATAACAATGGACAGTGAGGAAATCCAGAGAATCATCAGGTCATATTTTGAAAAGCTATACTACACAAAATTTGAAAATTTAAAGGAAATGGACAATTTTCTGGATAAATATCACTTACCAAAATTAAATCAAGAACAGAAAAGCAATTTAAATAGACCTATCACACCTAAGAAAACAGAAGCTGTCATCAAAAGTCTCCCAACAAAACAAAAAGCCCAGTGCCAGATGACTTCAGTGCAGAATTCTACCAGAAATTCAAAGAATAGCTTAAACCAATTCTCCGCAAAGTATTCCATGCAATAGAAGCATTAGTGTCTTTGCCAAACTCTTTTTACGAAGCTTCAATAACATTGATACCCAAGCCACACAAAGACACAACTAAGAAAGAGAACTTCAGGACAATATCCCTCGTGAACATTGATGTAAAAATACTGGCAAATTGGATCCAAGAGCACAATAAAACAATCATCCTCCATGGCTGAGTAGGTTTCATCCCAGGGATGTAGGGATGGTTCAACATATGAAAACCCATTAATGTAATCCACCATATAAACAAGCTGAGAAACAAAAATCACATGATCATCTCACTAGATGCTGAAAAAACCTACATCCAGTAACTGATTAAAGCAATGCAGTGATCCACAGCCAAGCACTTGGCTGAACTCCTGGACTTCAGTTGAAGAGAGAGAGGAGAGATCATAGGAGCAAGGGGGGTGGGGTCAAGATCATGATGGGGAAAACCACAAAGACAGCTGACTCAAGCTGGTGGAAGCTCAGGGACTCTGGACTGACAGCTGGGAAGCCTGCATGGGAACAAATTAGGCATCTGAATGTAGGCGACAGTCACGTGGCTTTATCTGTTTAGGGGGCCCCTGGCAGTGGGGCCAGGACTTATCCTGGGTGCATGAACTAACTTTTTGGAACCCATTCTCTATGGTGGGATACCTTGCTCAGCCTTGATGCAGGGGTGATGGGCTTTGTCCTGCCTCAACTTGATATGCCAGACTTTGCTGACTCCCCACAGGCCTTATCCCCTCTGAGGAGTGGATGAGATTGGGAAAGGGGAATGAGGGGAGAGGGAGAAGGGGAGGGAGGTGAAACTGAAGTTGGTATGTAAAATGAAAAATAAATAAATAAGAAAAATAATAAAAGAAAAAAGTCTTTAACACATGAGGTCTACACTAGCTGATAAAAACAATATTGTTGACTGAATCAGCAAATCCCCATTTTAGGAAGAGCTGTACATTCTAACAACAAGCATTTCAGAGTCCAGTATCCTACTCATCTATCTACTTGTTTTTCAATCATCTAATCCTAAGAAAGGATAGCATCAATCTTTTATATTTTCATAAAACATTAAGGCTCTGTGACCATGTGAAAAAGGCCCTACAAAAGAAATACTTTAATAGCATAGATAAACATTTTAAAGAGGAGAGAATAATTCTAAAATTTGCAATAAAGAGGAAAAACTTGAGAAGCATATAGAGCATCCTTAGAGTCTTATGAAACCCAAATGAATTGTAATATTTGAAAATTGATATTTTTCCTATCTCAAAGAAATTATTTAAGAAAAAGCAAAACCCTAAATCAGACTGAAAAAATTTGAAATTTGGTGCATACTTCTCTACTTTGTATTCACTAAATAAGAAGGTTAATTCTTAATTCATTAGCAAATGAACTGAAATATCTGGGAAATATTCAAACTGTTCTAAGAAAAAATTATGAACTGTTTTGTGAATGCCTCTTATACTGTGACAATTAAAAGAATGAGCCACAGACATGTAGTGACAATACAATGCAACCTATAGTTACACTCATAGTAATAAGAAAGCATGAAACTAACCAAATGAAAATTAAAATGTCATCTGTGTTCTATTTCACAAAAGTCTAAGCTTTTAAAAACTTAAATTTAAAACCCCATAGTCAATAACACATTACCTGTTCATAGGCCCCGATCTTGAGTGCTGTCTCTGGTGCGATTTTAAAAACATTCACACCATTTCCTCGCCAAAGAGAAAAAAGTCCTCCTTCTTTTATCATCTGCTTGAACTCATTAACCAATCTCACTTTATTCATTTTTGATTTACGGACCTAGAAATAAGTGGCAAATTTATTTAAATTTATTTTGCTGGTAATATAAATTTATTCCACTGCTGGTGAAATAATTATATCTATGTACTTCACAACTTTCAATGCAGTTTAATTTTCTTTCAGTCACATAAAATAGATGTTAGTATTTTTCTTGTTCCCAATTACATATAAAAGTCACAGTCTTGCCCCTCTATTGTTTTGCATCCCATGCTTCAAATAAAGCACAATCACAGAAACAAACATTTCATGTGTTTTAAATTGCTTGCTGTTCTGAATAGATGATGAAATCACCCATAATCTAACTCCACCTTGCCTTCCAGGGTGATGAGTCACCTCTGTGCAGTGTATCCATGTGGTATAATCTAACTACCTAATAATCAGTTAGGTGCTATCACCATTATCAGATCTACTACTACAGTATTTACACACAGTGCATATGTTCAAGTATCCCTTATTTTACTTCATTATGGCCCCAAAGCTCAGAAGTAGTGATTTTTGCAATGTGCATATGCCAGAGGCAACATACATGCTTTCTTAAGAGGATGAAAGTCATGTAACTTACATTAGGGTATATTACTATGATTGTTATACTTCAGTAGTAATGTTGGTGATCTCTCCTTATGCTCAATTTATAAATTAAACTTTATCATATGTATGTAGGTATCTATTGGATAAAATACAGTATTCTGGGGATTACTACTATTTATAGTGTAAGGTAACCAATGGCAAAATTTTCCCCCAGAGACGGAGACTACTGTAATCTAAAACATCAAAGAAAAATAAAAACAACTTATGGAAGATAGAATTCTAATTCAATTATCAGAGACCCTCATCATAAGCAAAGTGTGTGGTTGCTACAAAAATACCCAGAGATTATTAAAGAGCACATTGAAATATGCATTGAAAACATAATTGAATGAAAATACATTAAAGTTTCAACAATGTATATATCAGGGCTTCAGGGTATTATGGATTAGACTGTAGCTCTCAAATATGTTGAAGCCCTAACTCCCTCAGGATGTGATCCTAATTGAATGGGGTCTTTGCAGATAAAATCAAGCTCATCTAATATGGCCTTTGCCCTTATAAAAGGAAAAACTGAACACCAAGAGGAAGGCAGCATGAACTGACGAGGAGGATGGCTTTATCCAAGTCTAGGAGAGGCACCTGGAACTAACGCCTCAGCACCCTGGGAGCAGCCAGCCCTGCTGACCACTCAACTGGTCCTTCAGAACTACAGCAGAACATTTCTGATTTTACACCAGGCAGTGGAACTTTGTTACTGAATTCCTAACAAAGGGAGACACTGCTGCATGCTTTTCACACTCCCTAATCCAGTGACCCATGTGTAGCCCTTAGAGAACTAATCACACCTATCTTGGTGTACCTACAAGTCGTTCCCGTGTTGCATGAAGCAAAACCTCTAAAGTGACAATTACTATTTTCAATAATATATCATCCTCACAGATTTATGTTTATAATGTTCTGGAAATATGGACTATGCTCTTTCATCTTTGCATTTCTAGCATCTAATATGTAATGAGCACACAAGACGATTTTCTAATTAATTTTCCCTCTTGGCCCTATTCCCATCTCTGTCATCTCTCAACCATGTCTCCCCTATGTAGCACTGTATGTGTCTATATCTTTTCTTTTACATGTAATTTTGTAGGCCCATGTACTTGGGAAAATTGGGTTTTCTACTTTAATGTGTAATAGAACATTTTTCAACTCTGTCTTTCCTAACAGTTGTCCAAATTTAGCTTCCTGGCTGAATAGAATGTGGATTAGTTAACACGTGGAATCAAGCACACAGAAGGATAATGGTTTAGTTGTCCTATTGCCATATACTTAAGTATATTCCCTATATTTAGATGATTAAACTAGAGCCTTTATTTCTATTGGATAAATTAACCGAGATATCATTATATATCTACATGAGAAATAATAAGGAGAAATAAAATAGTATCTATTCCTCCTTGGTATTCCCATGGTACTAATGTGTTTTCTGTCCAGTTATAAAATGGCATTTCAATATTTATTATCTAATCACCTATTTTTCCTGATGTAATTCCTCTCATTTAAAAAGTGTATCTAAAGCTGGGCATTGGTGGCACATGTCTTTAATCCCAGCACTCAGGTGGCAGAGGCAGGCAGATCTCTGTGAGTTCGAGGCCAGCCTGGTCTACAGAGGGAGTTCCAGGACAGACTCCAAAGCAATACAAAGAAATCCTGTCTTGAAAAACCAAAAAAAAATTTAAATAAAAGCGTACCCATTAAAGACCTAACAGATAACATACTCTACTAAATAGGTATGGAATGAATAAATGAAGCTTCCTTAATCCAAAATCCAACACCACACTGGTTTTTCTAAAAATGATATATAAATTTAATATTTAAGCAGAGTCACAGCATTTGAGAGAATGAAGAATAATTAAGGATGAATTCCAAAGTTCTTAATTAGGTAACATTACAATTTTACTCTCCATGTTCCTTCAAGGCACAAAACACACCTGCATCATGACTTTCAAGCGGTCCAAAGGTGCCGTGCACGTCCGCGCGATCGCGCTTGCTATTCCTGCGGCTACTAACCGTTTCCACCATTCCCCGGACTTCTTTTCTTGTTCTGTAAATTCATCTGGAATAGATATACTCTCTCCTATATCAACTATCTGATGAATAAAAAAATAGGTAGGGAAGTATAAACACCCGAGAAATAAAAAGTATAACTTTCTACAAAGACCAAGAAAAACTATTCCTACAGATCAAAAAACTTCAACCTTTGTTTTTCCAATCACCTCCTACACTGAAGATCGATAATATTCTTAGTACTCAGTGCTTATACTCAAAGATTTTTGAATAACACATTCATGTATAGATTTAAAATAAAATTTTGATTGCATTAGCTATTAATTTAAAATAATTCCCGAACCATTTGAATAATCTCCTCCACAAAACAATACAAACCTGAGAGCAGGGAACACACCACTTACACAGTGTCTGCCACACGCTAGGTGAGGAGTAAACACTGAATAGACTTTCACCCTTTATTTCAAATCCCTACCGGTGAGCCAAGGCAGGAGGCAAGGAGAGCATCTGACATGCTCTGACTCACTTTTCTCAGTGATCTTTTGTTGATCAATTTTCTCTTTTAAGGTGGCACATGCCTTTAATCCCAGCACTCAGGAGGCAGAGGCAGGTGGATCTCTGTGAGTTCGAGACCAGGCTGGACCGACAGCCTCCAAAACAATACAGAGAAACCCTGTCTCTAAAGCCAAAAAAATAACCTGTATTACAATGAGTTTATATTTGGTAATTTTATTTTTAAGTGTTAAGGCACCATGTTTCAGTGAAGAGTGCTACACTAGGCTTGAAGACTTAGATTCTATTACTATGGATGTGGTAGATATGTTACTGCTCTTCTTAGCTCCTCACTTCAATTTATTCATTCTGCTAATGCCCTTCTCAAATTATTTTCCCTCTGCCCCCAAAGATTTCTTCTTGATTCAACTGCTTCCCGTCTAATAAAGCACAATCTTGATCAATTAGTTTATTTCTGTTTATTGTTTGGCTCCTCTTTTATAAAGTAAGCCCAATAAAGCCAACAATCTGATCTCCCTTGTGTGAAAACCTAGATCTTAGCTCCTCAAGATAAATGTGCTCAGTAAAGATTGTTGAAGTAAACATCAACATGCCAGGCCCTGGGCTTTGTTTTGTGACACAGTCATAGAGAAGTTGGTTTCTGCCTCTAGCATTTACAGAGCTGTTATTATTATCTCTAGAATAAGAGTCATAGGAAAAGACACAATCAAGTACAATACAGAGCAGTCACTACAACAACAAAGTGTCCTTAGAAAATCCTACGGAAACACTGTGTGCACAAATTAGATTTGATGAGTTAAGAAAGTAGAGACAAAGGTAGGTAGGCAGAGAAAGTAGAGTAGAACTGGGAGGAGTTGGGTGAGGGATAAATATAATCAAAACACATTGCACAAAATATCAAAGAACTAATAAAATTAAATAGTATTTTGAAAATAAAAGTTATAAATGTGAAATGAAAGAAAAGAATTCCTTATAGTTAAAGTAACTTAGAAGTCCCAAAGTCCCAGTTTGAATGCAGGAATCATGACCTCAAAGGCCATCACATTATACTATCTTTCTATATAAGTAGGGATTACCCAAAGTAAGGTGAGCTTGAAGATATTACTTATTCTAAGAACCACAAGATTATATTGGAAAGAGATGTTTAAAAAAATAAAATGGCAAAGGTTAGTGAGATGGCTCTGCAGATAAAGATGAAGGCCACCCAGTCTGACAACCTGAGTTCATTTTCCAGAACCTATGTAGTGCAAAGAGAAAACTGACTCTAGCCCATTATCATCATCTCCATGTACACACCATGGTGTGAGCACACATGCTTACACTAGATTTAACATCTTTCTAAAGGGTTTAGATAGTTACTGATTAGAAAGAAGAAAGTGATGGTGGGTTCAAGAGTTTGAAATGGCCACTGTTTTTGCTAGGTTGGTTGTAAAGAAGAAATGGGTGATATCAAGTTTTGAGGTTATACTGTTTTGTTCCATGTACAAAAATTAGTTGATCTGTCTAGAGATGGCCTTATGTCACAGAGCAACTAATTAGAAAAGGAAATGAAAGTAAGAGAGGACTGAAGGAGAGAGAAATGAAGGAATTAAAATAATAATCCATGGAACATAAATTTAAATGTCTTTGGAGGCCAGGCAATAAGTCTCATCTGGGTATCAGGAAAAAGTCCATTGAAATGGGCACATCTTCCTCTTCATTTTAGATAGTTTAATCCAGTTGTTCTTATGTAGGAATGCATATTGGGGCTATATATTCTTTTCATGTTTCCAGAGACACCAGAAAGCCATGGTTTATTTATAAAATTCCTCTAGTTTTATACATTGTATGAGCTAAACAGAACATTTAGCCTTTGACGGATGCCTGGGAACTTGTAGCAGGGTGAGCTCCATTCAGTCGCATCCACACCCAATTTGGGTGATGTCAAGATAATGCTTTTTGTCTTGGGCTTTAAAGTTGATGCTGGAACAAGTTAGGAGTAGAGGCTGTGAGAAGGGTGGGATTTATTTTGCATGTGACAACCTTTTTGTTATCTTTCCTCTCTGGGGCTGTGGATTGTAGGTTGGTTATCCTGTATTTTACTACTAGTATCCACTTATGAGTGATTACATATCATGTTTGTCTTTCTAGATCTGGGTAACCTGGCTCAGACTGACTTTTTCTAGTTCCATCCATTTGCCTGCAAATTTCATGAGGCATTGTTTTTACAGCTGAGCAGTACTCCATTGTGTAAACATACCACATTTTCTTTATCCATTCTTCAGTTGAGGGGCATCTAGGTTGTTTCTAGGTTCTAGCTATTAGGAATAATGCTGCTATGAACATAGGTGAGCAAGTGTTCTTGTGGTATGACTGAGTATTTTGGGGGTATATGCCCAAGATTGGTATATCTGGGTTTTGAGATAGATTGATTACCAATATTCTGAGACACTGCCATACTGATTTCCAAAGTAGCTGTACAAGTTTGTACTCCACCAGCAGTGGAGGAGTGTTCCCATTGTTCCACATCCTCTCCAGCATAAGCTGTCACTGGTGTTTTTTATTTTAGCCATTCTGGCAGGTGTAAGATGATATCTCAGAGTTGTTTTGATTTACATTTCCCTGATTACTAAGGATATTAAACAATTCTTATAGAGCATTTCAGCCATTTAAAATTCTTCTATTGAGAATTCTTTGTTTAGCTCTGTACCCCATTTTTAATGGGATTATTTGGTATTTTGATGTCTAGTTTCCTGGGTTTCAGCACAGACACTGAGATCAACAATTAATAAATGGGACCTCCTGAAACTGAAAAAACTTTTGTAAGGTCAAGGACACTGTCTATTAAGACAAAACTGCAGCCTACAGAATAGGAAAAGATCTTCACCAACACATCTGACAGAGGGCTCATCTCCAAAATATACAAAGAACTCATGTTTTTTCTTTAGCTCTTTTTTTCTGTTTGTTTAGTCCTAGTCTGATTTGCTTTTGTTTTACTTTATTATTAATCTTTAGATGCCCATTTTCTAAGGAGACACAGAAGAGTATGGATCAAGGGGGGGAGGAGGTGGGAAAGAACTGGGAGGAGTTAGCAAAATGGAAACTATAGTCAGAATATATTGTATAAAAACATCTATTCCCAATAAAAGAAAGATGTAGTAATATATCCTGGGTAGTAGTTACAGGAGATAAATTGAGTGATCATGGAAGGACCAGTCAAAAAGTAAGAAATCAGATGTGTTATCAAAGTACTATATAAATCAAAATCAGATGAGAAATGATGTTACATGTTCCTCCCATGTCCAAACATTCAGGAACACAGACGAAACCAAGTGTCTAACATAACAAGCATTTATTGAACACATATGTTCTTAGCTTGTTTTAAACACACTGACTAATGCACCAATTGAACTCTGCACGATCTAATGGAAGAAACTGAGGCACAGAGAGTATTATACAGTGAGTGGGTGTGAGATGAGGGTTCAAACATTTGCATTCTGACTCCAGAGCTAATGGTCTTTTCTTCCTGTGGACTGTCTGTGGTGGAAAGACAGACACTCATAACTGTGCGCTGTGAATACAGTATTTTCACTCCCCCACCTTACATCTGAAGAACTTAAAAGTCTTTAAATACAAATTCCCTTTAGTCCTTACAACTTCAGGTCAGGCACTTATGAAATTTAAAGGAGCATATAGCTTGTACGTTTGTTTCTTTTTCACTCTAAATTCTGAAATCTTAATATGTAATTTTATATTCCCAATGCCAAAAGACACAGTCAAGCATATAATATCTGTGTAAAAAAGGAAAATACGTATTTTCACTTCTCTAGGACAATGCAATTACACATAACAATTAACACTATTTTTAACACAGAGTAGGTAGGTCCTTTTAGTAGGCACCTAAGATTACGTAATGATATTTGCAACTACAATATTTAAAGAAAAATAAAAACAGTAAAATGCAGAGGAGTCTTACAGTAGAATGCTTCCAGAAACGAATAATTTCGTTGATATTTTTTGCAGGGTGGAGGAAAAAGTAGTCTCTCCATTCATCCCAGTCTATTGTCATTGACCCATCGCTATCCATGCTGAAATACAATTTTAAATGGTGTTTATAAGACTTACAGCAGCACCATTACTCACATTACTCAAACACTTCTGGGGTGTTTGTTATTGAAGTCTTTCCTTTGCATTTTATCAATACCACTGTATTTTCCTTTTTAAAGAATAAATTATCTATTAGAGCAATGTCAGATTTGAAGATAAATTGAGAGGATGTATCCCCATACCTATGCTCTCCTACTGGTTACATCTTACACCACTGTGGTCTACTTGTTACAACTCATGACTAATGGCTAACACATTATTCATAACTACATTTTAAGCTAATGCGTGTTTAGCCTCAGTGTCATACTAAGATATAACTCTATTCAGTTATCATGCCTCCTTAAGCTCCTCCCGACTATGGCAGTTTTCAGACTTTTCCTGTTTTTAACAATGTTGACATTCCTAAAGAGCACTGATGATCAGGTGCTAGAGAGACAGCCCAGCATGTAAAGTGCTTGCCTTGCAGCCACAAAGATCTCAGTTCAGTCCCCAGAACCCAAGAAAAAACAAGCCAGGCATGCTGAGGAAGTGCAAAGTGGAAGGCTCCCCTGACTCCCTGGCCAGCCTGGAATACCCATGATGCTCTAGGCCCTGGGGACCCCCATCTCAACAAAGGAAACAAGCAAACAAGAAAACGGTAGATGGAGCCTGTGGAACAGCACCTGATCTGGCTTCCACATGTACATATTCATGTAAGCAGGAGAACACCAACACACACACGCACACGCATGTACGGATGTTTTACAGACTGCCCTTCCACTGGAATCCACTACATATTGCTTTTTAATTGTTTGTTTAAATGCAATTTTCACATTTTCCTCATATTTCTTGAAGAGAAAGATTATTTTAAAGTCATACGCATATCTCTAGCACTGAGCAATCGAATGACTAAATCAATAGATCTGACTGAATAACCTTGTATCTTTTGGATCTTCTAGTATTATTTTTGTCTTTGACCCTCTTTTCATTGTTGGTTTTCAAATCAACTTTAACATTTTACACATAAACTCATTTTTATACCTAATACTCCTCATCCCATTTTTTAAAAGAGTAAATTATTTAAAAAATGATTTAAAAATGATTAAGAGGTGAAATCATTCACTGTTTATTTTTTGATATACCCGAAGACAGCTGGGCACTGAATGAGGAGAGTCTGCAACAGCCTCAGGGGTCAGCTAACGTTTGGGGGGTTAGTTTTATATCCTACAATACAGAACATACTAAATTGCAATTTGGAGTTTCAGTTTTGCATTTGTGTCTGGAATATTTTCAGTTGCATGTGGTCTCGTGTTACTTGTAGAACCACTTTCTAAAAATCCACTGCTTGGTCCTTGCCCAAGCAGAATGATAACATCCCTGGTCATGGCAGCCCATTTTCTTAACGGTTGTAATAATGTGCTGTGAAAGGTGGAGATTTTGGATGTGTGAATCAGTGGAAACGGAGATTGTGTGAGGTCTTAAGTTTGAGGCTGGAGCATCACTGGAATAACTGTTCATAAAGAAACGCACATGGCTCTTCAGAGTTCGGGGCACACGAGCACAATCTATGACCTCCAAGTTTGGGGCACATGTATTAAGAATTGAAATGTCTCTTGTGAAAAAAAAGAATATGATGAACAAACATGTCAATATATTTGAAAATTTAGGTGAAACTTATAAATTTCTAGAAATATTGTTTATTTATATACTTATTATTGGTACATTAATTATTTAGAATAATGGGTTTTGTTATAAATTTTTCATATATACACATGTTTTTGGATCATTTATATATTTTTTAGGTACAAGAGCTCTGTCTGCACATATGCCTGCATGCCAGAAGAGGGTATTGGATCCTATTATAGACAATTGTGAGCCACCATGTGGTTGCTGGGAATTGAACTCAGGAACTGCTGAGCCATCTCTCCAGCCCCATCTTTGGATCATAATTTGCTCCCCCTTTATACTTTCTTGTTCCCCTTCCAACTTCCTCTGATCGTTTTCCAGCTAGGAACATACACTTTCACGTTGCATGTGCAGTATGCATGTGTATTTGTGCATATATGTGTACCTGGTATACACACAGGCGTGTGTGTGTGTGTGTGTGTGTGTGTGTGTGTGTGTGTGTCCCAATGTGCTTAGTTAGGTTTGCTTACAGGAACAGGACCATGAACATGGGTGAGAATTTATTTAATGGAGCATGAGCACCTCACCAGTGGCTGTATGTCTCCTCTCCCCTGTCAATCAGAAACTACTCAGTAAATACTCAGGGGTGGGACCTGATGAGACCCTGCCTATTTCATGACGGGATAGTGATGAGTCTAAATTGGTGCAATCTTGCATAGGAAATCACAGATGCTGTGAGTTAAGAGTGCAAAGACCATTCCACGCCCTAAGTCTTGTTGTGCATAACTTCTTCCCCCACCTTCCTGGGGCACTTACATTCTTTTCAGCCCTTCTAAAATGATACTGCCTGAGCCTTTTAGGAGGTGATACAGATGTCTCACTTACAGCTGAGCATCCAACATTCACTCACTCCTAGCATTTTGATACAGTTACCTCTGACCACTATAAAGAGAAGCTTCTCTGATAAAAGCTGGCAAAAATAGTAATCTTCTGGTAGACATAAAATAGTTATTTAGAAGGCAATTTGATAGACACAGCATACCCATTCATCAAAACAATAGTAGGTTTACCAGACAGCCCATGATCTCAGTGTGTGTGTGTGTGTGTGTAGTGTGTGTGTGTGTGTGTGTGTGTGTGTGCAGGTACACTCTTCTGTGCAGGAATGTGTGAAGAACTACAGTTGACCCTAGAATGTCTTTCCTCAATCAATTCTCCAGCTTATTTTTTAAGATATGATCTAATCCTAAAGCTCAGTGTTTTCAGCTAGATTGTTGATGGGGGATGTGCTTATGTATGCTGTGAATATGTTTCTTTTATTGGTTGATGAATAAAAGTCGTTTTGGCCAATGGACAGGCAGGATGTAGGTAGGCAGAAAGTATAGGCAGGGCTACTGAACTAGGATAATTCTGGGAAGAGGAACTGAGAGAGTGAGTTGCTGGGGAGATGCCATGTAGTTGCTGAGAAAGCAAGGGATCCAGGCATCACTGGTACGCCAAGACCATGTGGAGATATACAGATTAATAGAAATGGGTTAATAATTAAGAGAGAGATAACCAATAAGAAGCCTGAGCCTCTGTGTGTTTATTTGGATTGAACAGCTGCAGAACAGAAACTTCTATGTGCAGATTATCTGGATAGCAAATACGTAAGAGCTGACTGCTTCTAACCCACTACTGGAGTACTGGCACGAGCAATTCTGCTAGCTTTACAATTCACGTGCTTGTGGAAGCCAGAGGCCAAACTCTGATGTTGCTCCTCGGGAGTCATCTACCTCTCACTGAGCTCTGGGGTATCTCAGCTTGGTTTCTATTGCTGTTATGAGGCCATGATCAAAAGCAACTTGAGGAGGAAATGGTTGACTTGATCTTATAGTTTATAGTCCAGTATACAGGGAACTCAAGGCAGGAGCTCCTGACAGGAACTTGGAGTCAGGAACTGAAGCAGAGGACATGGAGGAGCACTGCTTACTGCCTTATTCACCATAGCTTGATCACTGGTTTCTTATACAACCCAGTACCACCTTACCCAGGGGTGGTGCCCTCTGAGTAGGCTGAGCCCTCCCTCATCAATCTGATGGAGGTATTTTCTCAGTTGAGATTCCTCTTCACAGATAACTTTAGCTTGTGTCAAGTACACACACACACACACACACACACACACACACACACACACAGGACTTGCTGACTAGCCTAGGCTGGCTGGCTAATGGGTCCAAGGAATAAATCTGTTTCCACATTCCTGAGCTTGCCAGCTACCTAGATTTTATGTGGGTGCTGGGATTGAACTCAAGTCTCATGCTTCACAATGAACACTTTACTGACTGAGCTATCCTCCCCCAGTCCCCATGTGGAAAAAAAACTTAATGTGCTTACCAAAATGAATACAGGTTAGTTAATACAGAGAAAACTGAATAATATACCACACAGTCTAAAGGAATATATGTCGATCCTTTCATAGATGTAAACCCATCATGGATGTAAACACATTTGAATTGTAAGACAATGTCTCTATAAAATGAGAGCAGGAGCTTGAAGTACCATGTGTATCCCAGTTAGTTCCTGGCATAGACCATAAAACACAAAACTAAGAAAGAATGGGTGTGCAGGCTGACCTTTTCAGGATGTCATTTGCCTGAGCGAGAGAAATGTGGATTCCCAATGATTTCACGGCAGCAACTATTTCTGAAGCATCTATCATTCCTTTAAAAAGTGAAAAACACAGAGTTAAACATCTGAAAAGACCACAATGCAACTGTTTTTGCTTTAAAAGTCTGCGTTTGGTGGGTCTTTACTCCCAAATTTATAATTCAATGCCTAAAAATTTCAAAAGGTTGGCACCAACTTGACATTTGGTAGAAAAGTCTCTTAACATTGTGACAAGGTAAGTTTTAATTAGTTAGCTAATTAAGTGTGAACATTCACATTTCAGGACAGAAGTACTTATGGATATAATAGCTCATAGCCCAGACATCACTTGAGATATTAAATCTCACAGGCACACTGAATTACTCTAAACTCCAAATTCTAAATTCCAAACTACATCTGGTCCTAAGGACTACAGATCATAACATATTTGACTTTATACCTATTTGAAAAGAACTAAAAAAGTTAGTTCTGAAGACCTGACTCAGGGGAGAAGAATAAAGAACTATTTATGAACTATTCAACATTCTTATAGAACCAAGTTCTTTTAACAGAAACATGTACTGTGTTAAATAACTCAAATAATATGTGTGCATATGTAAATATAACTAAAGTCTGTGTACATGTCATATGTAATTAAGTATATAAATAGATGCATACATATTTATTCATATACATAATTAAAATATTCCCTCTTGTTAAGCAGGGTATATATATATATATGTATATTATATATGTCTACTATGCAGCTCATTTTCACATTGCTAGATGTTGCAAAGAGGAAATTTAAAACTCCATATTCTCTTTAAACTCTAAAACACAAATATAGCATGTATCATTTTCCAAATCCAGATTCTTTTTTTTTTACTTTTATAGTTTTTTTAAGATTGTAATGTAATTACATCATTTTCCCCTTCCTTCTCCTCCCTTTAACCCTTCCCATATACCCACCCCTGCTCTCTCTCAAATACATGGCCTCTTTTTAAATGTTGTGATACATATGTGTGTACATATATGTCTGTATATTTAAATATGTATTCTTAAATATGTAAATACAACCTGATTAGTCCACATAGTGTTTCTTGTATGTTTTAAGGTAAACCATTTGTTCCTGGATAACCAATTGGCATGCCCTTCCCTGGGGAGGATTATCTAGTTCTCAGAATTCCTTAGTTGCAGCTGGGCAGTGGTGGCACATGCCTTTAATTCCAGCACTTGGAAGGCAGAAGCAGGTCGAGGCCAGCTTGGGTCTACATAGTGAGCTCCAGGACAGCCAGAACTGTTATACAGAGAAACCCTGCCTCAAAAAAAGAGAAGAATTCCTTAGATGCTGTCACTCTTTGTCTAAGGTTGATGTTTCATGAGCTTCCTCCTTCCACGTTAGTATGTCTATTGGTGTCATCCTTGTTCAGGTCTTGTTTAGGCAGCGATGTTGGTGAGACTTCATAGGTGTAACTTTCTGCCCCCTCTTCATTAATGATCCCTGAATCTTAGGTGCAGGAGTTGTGTTGTAGGTGATATCAGTTGGAACTTGGCTCCACAGCTCTGTATTTTGGTCAGTTGTGATGTTCTATAATGGTCTCCATCTGTTGCAAAGAGAAATTTCCTTGATGAGGAGTGAAGACTACACTTATCTGTGGTTATAAGGACAAATATTTAAACTGTAATTAGGGATTGTGCTGGTTTAGTAAGTAGTAGTTTATAGGTTTTCTACCAAGATCCATGACTCTAGCCCTAGGCAGTTGGCTAGGTTTCCAATACCAGCCATAATTTCCCTCTTGTTGAGCAGGCCTTAAGTCCAAGGTACATGTGTCACTACTGTACCCTTAGAGTCATTTGCCATGTTGGTCATTGTTGTGGTTCATAGGCATATCCAAGTGCCACAGTGTGTATGTGGAGATCAAAAGATAACTTTCAAGAATCAGTTTTCTTCTTCCTGTGGGATCAGGGATCAAACTCAGGTTGTCAGGTTTGCACAGCAAGCACTTTCTCATGTAGCCATCTCACTGGCCCTGATAATTCTTGAATGTACGTATCATTCTTTATATCAACTTTAGTGTCACCTGGTTAAAAAATATGCCAAATGCTACCATAAATTCAGCCATGCTTTTCATTTGTATAAACCATTTATCAAAATTACGTATGAGAATATATATACATATGAGGTATCACTTAATCCATAAACAAAGACACTTTTTCATAGTCTCAAGTTTTCTTTATAAAAATCATGTCCCAAGATCCAGACAAGGCTGTTTACTGGCCTGCAAACCAAAGTTTCTTCAAATGATAAGCTCTAATCCTTATTTAAAGAATTGCAAATACTATGCTCATCTGTTAAATTTTTAATTGATAATCTGATATATAAATCACCACCTTTGTTAGGGTTACTATTACTGTGATGAAGCACAATGATCAAAAAGCAACCTGGGCCGGGCCGTGGTGGCGCACGCCTTTAATCCCAGCACTCGGGAGGCAGAGGCAGGCAGATCTCTGTGAGTTCGAGGCTGGGCTGGACCGATAGCCTCCAAAACAATAAGGAGAAACCCTGTCTCGTAAAAAACAAAAAAAAAAAGCAACCTGGGAAGGAAAGGGTTTATTTCACCCACAGTTCCATGTAACAGTTAGTTCATCATCAAAAGCAGGAACTCACACCGGGTAGGAACCCGGAGCCAGGAGCTGATGCAGAGGCCACGGAGGGGTGCCGCTTCCTGGCTTGCTCTCCATGGATGGCTCAGCCTGCTTTCTGATACAACTCAGGACCACCAGCCCAGGGATGGCACTGCAGGCCCTCCCCCATCAGTCACTAATTAAGAAAATGCCATACAAGCTTGCCTACAGCCTGATCCTATGGAGGCATTTTCTCAATTGAGGTTCCTGTCTCTCAGATGGCATTAGTTTGTGTCAAGCTGACATATTATCTAGCACAATTACTATATTAAGTATAATCTAATTCAAATAGCGATAAACTCCCTTGAGGACTTGGCAAATTTGTATGATAGTATTAATATTTTTGAAATATTTTACATTAGAAACTCCAGTAGTGCAATCACTTAGTACATAGTACTTCTATAAAGTACATTATATTGTGCTAGATGTATGTTAGCTGAAATGCTACAAGCAAAATACAGTAGAAGGACGAATAAGAGAGAGTCAAAAATGAAGCAATGTAAAGGATGCACAAGATGTCACCACAAAGCAAAGTATGATTATTTATTTCACAAATACCTATTACAGACTCATAGTATTAAAATGTCATGATAATTTACGTCTTGGCAAGGGGAGTGACTTTGCAGGACATGAAAGGAGCTTCTACAATGCTAGTGATGTTCTGTTTCTTAATCTGGAAGTTGTTTTCAGGTTGCATATTTACCTTATAAAATTTATGGAATTTACAATTATAGTTTATAAGTCATTAAAATTATAACATCCATTTTACTGGAGATATATTACACTAATGAGTATCTCTCTTCATGCAGTCTCCCCAACTGAGTAGATAGGCTTCTTCCCTAGATGCTCAAGATGGCAAGAGGCAGCCCATCAAGACAATAAGTCCTGTGTCCTATTAGCTTTGCTCACATCCCCAAAACTGAAGAAAGCCAATGACCAAGTCACTAAGACACAGACCCTCGCAAGGGCAAGCATCCTGAAAGCTGTGATTCATTCACTGGAATGGGCAATGTAAAGCAAAAATACTTAGCCTTCCTGAGCTTTTGGTCTCCTCATCTGAAAACATGGTTCCCATGAAGATGGTGTGGGATTAAAAAAACTAATGGTAAGATACAGAAAGTGCTCTGAGAAAGCATAGTGTATAGGAGCGTAAAATAAAAATTAGTTCATTTGTTTCCTCCATGCAAGGAATGGCATCCAAAAGGTAAAAGAACCAATCCTGGTACAAATCAGCACATAGTCAGATAGCAGTTAGGAAAAAAATGTCTCTTGGGCATTTTGTAGAAAATAAATATGAAACCTACAGATTAAAGGCTGAGACGATGTGAAATGTCAAGAGGCCTGGTATAGGGTGTTAGGCCATAAAAAATTCCCACTACTCTTGGCTAGTTAGTTGGTTCTAAAACAGAATGCGATTTGACCTTGATGTGTGATTTCCCAGCACATAAGAAAAGCATGTGCTGTTTTTTTCTTCGATGATTTTACTTGAATCCATGGATTATAATGACCACCTTAATATATCTTTATCTCCATTCTCTGACCTGTAACTCAACTTAGGACATCCCAGAATTCTCTTATTACTAAAATGTGCCCTCTCCCAGCCACCTTGCAAGCACTTTGCAGACTCAGGGAAAGTGGCTGCACATACTTATGAACCGAAAAAGATTACGTTAAGCGCCACTACACTGGTATCAGATACCTCACAACTAAACATAAAACACAAGAAAGAGTACACTATTTTTATAAGACTGTTGTGACAAAGCTCACAAAGCCAGATGGTTTAATCCACAACTCTGAAATCAAGGTGTAAGTAGCACTATGGACCTTCTGGTAGTTCCCAGGTAGGATCTATTCTCTTCCTCTCTCCTAGCCTCAAGCTTTCATTGGCATGTAGACGCAGCATTACAAGTCTGTCTGACCACCACAACCATCTTTTATAACAGAATAAGGCCCCATTCTAATACCCTAAATTGATTACACATACAAAGATCATGCTCTCCAATAAGTCCCATTTATGGTGTGCTGGAGGCTAAGGCTTCAGCACATCTTTTTGAAGGGATACAACTCAGCACATAACAAGTGAAGTATACTTTTTCTCACCTTCAAGTACCCTGGCCAAACTCTAAACAAAGGGGATTACGATGACATGTGCAGTCACAGGAACTAATACAGCAACACAGAGCAGGCAGAGCAACCAAAGCAGCACCTCTGAGGTGTTGCTAGGGCCTGGGCTCTGCACTCTAGATGATGGGAAGTATCCCTGATGAGAACTGTACCTACTACTGCAACTGGCGTACTCAAAGCAATGAAGCCAGCAGAAGGCAAATGGTAGCTTCTAGAATGGTATCTCTGAAGGTCTTTTGGGGCTGAGTTGTAATATTTCAGTTTGA